ACACTCCTCCTGAAGGCAGGATGGAGTTTTCAATCCCAGAAACTCATAGGTTTGGTTGATAACAGGAACTCAAAAAGTATTTGTGAGTGAACAGAGTGAATGTATTAATTTACTAGTATATCTACTGATAAGTCTATTCATTTAATATAGCCTTTAAAATCACCTTCCATGTTCAAGATTTTCTTTGGGGAGTTAGCCTAACAGCACAGCTTTATTACTTATACAGAATTCATAATACAAACTAGCAATAGACAATACTAATAAAGAGAAAGTGTTAGCATAGTACAATATTTTGCTAGTTTTCTTTTGCTCCTATAGCACATATCCTAAACTTAGTGGCTTAAACCAATACAAATTTATTATCTTGCAGTTCTGGCGGTCAGAAAAGTTCAAACTACCTCTCATGAGTTAAAATCCAGGTATCAACAGTGCTGCATTCCTTTCTGCAGGTTTAGGAGAGAACTTTTCTCCTTGCCTTTTTCAGCTTCTAGAGCAGTGGTTCTCAACCTTCCTAATGCTGCAACCCTTTAATACAGTTCCTCATGTTGTGGTGACCCCCCAACCATAAGTTATTTTCCTTGCTACTTCATAACTGTAATTTTGCTACTGTTTGAATTGTAATGTAAATATCTGATATGCAGGATGTATTTTCATTGTTACAAATTGAACATAATTAAAGCATAGTGATTAATCACAAAAACAATATGTAATTATATATGTGTTTTCAGATGGTCTTAGGCAACCCCTGTGAAAGGGTCGTTCGACCCCCAAAGGGGTCGCAACCCACAGGTTGGTGACCCACAGGTTGAGAACTGCTGTTCTAGAAGCTGCCCACATTCCCTTTCTCCATCTTTAAAGCCAGCAACAGGAAATGAATTATCCTCTGTTGCATCTATCTGACCCTGTTCTATCATCACATCGCTCTCTGACCCAGCTATACAAGTGACTCTGAAATAAATATGTAATTAGATTGGGCTCATCTACCTATCTGGGAAAAATCTCATGTCAAGATCCTTACTTTAACACAGCTGCAAGGCTCCTCCTCAGATGTAAAGTAAAACAACCACAGTTCCCAGATTAGGACATAGACCTCTTTGGGGAGCTCTTATCTTGCCCACCACAAATATCTTCCTGTTCCCCTGAAGCAAGTTCAGTGCCAGCCATTCTGAGTTTGGGCGGGAAATTCCTCTGTAAACTCAATCATAAGATACTACCTAGGGCAAGCCCCCAAAAGCCCCCTCTCCCTTACCAGGCTTTTTCTGACTTTACTCATTTCTTTCACCGGGGTCACCTGACTAACTGCTCACATCCAGGTGTGTCAAGCTTTTTCTCTTTTTTAGAGAGACAAAGACACTAACCATGCAGAACCATGCTTCTAAAAAAATGTGGTGAAGGCTGAGGAAAAAAAAAATGTAAATTAGCCCTCAGAAGAAATCCTTTCAGTTCATGTTTCATCAGGATGGTATCATTCCCCAGCTAAAGGTCATTCATCAATCTAGTTTTTATTACAACAGTTTCCTTCTCAATTTAGTGATGATGATTTTTCTCACTTCTGCACTTCGTTTTTCTTTTTCCCCATCATTCAAAAGGGGCTAATGGCCTTTCGTTCCTGTCTTCCATAGTTATTAGATACCATTTCTTTCAATCCAAACATTTCTGGGAGTGAATTCCTCTTCCCTCGCAACCTGGCCTCCCTGTGTCTTTTTTGGCTTCTGTATTTCACAACTCCTCCTTGTATGGGACTGTGTTCAGACAAGCACTAGTTGGCCAAGTTACCATTACCATTCCAACACCATGATGCCAGCAGTTGAGAGAGAGCCCAAAACATTTATTAGCATTAACCTCTGAAGAAAGAATAACTGAGTGTTTTTCAAATAACTACATGCTTCTCTTGAGATTTGACTGTTTATTATAAATTAAGAGGTTATTCTTCTGATTCTTTGGGGTTTGAATATAGGAACAATAAGAGATCTTACATTCAATTTTTTCCAAAATATGTTATTCATATACAGACTATATTGCACCTCAACTTTCTACAAAATCCTTCAGTAACCATAAACAGTTAAACTAACATTTCCTGGGGACCAGAGATATGTGATTCAGAAATAAAACCTAACTCCCCTTACTTGTTATACTGCTTTCTCCAGGTAATCAAAATTATGAAATGCTGCTAACGGACATTCCCATTTCTGGGAACTGGGAAACATTTGAAATATGGGACAAATCCTCATACCAGAAAATCTTAAGAAAATTTTATGAAAGTATTTATTGAAATTCCAAATAATCACAAAAATCAGATATTAAGTGATAATCTGTACAATGATGCTAAAACTTCCTGTCTAACCTTAGTGCATAAACTTTCTCTCCTTATCTACAACTAGAGATTCATTCTTCCTTTCCCTGGCAGACACACAAGATATGGGTGCTCCTATTTTTAACCTCCCAGCTTTCCTGGGACATCACTACAAATTATATCTTCAATCCCCTCCCACATTTGTGTTAACCACTCTTTTCATAGAACATCCTCTTGTACATCATAACTAAGTCTTGGAAGTGACCAAAAATAATTTTATGAGCTCCACAGCTATACCACTTTGCCCTCTACTAGCAATGACCTTGGCTTTCATTGATCAAGTTTTTATCTTCTTTCTCCCCAGGTACTAGAAGGACACAGGTCATCTACAAACCCTGGATTGCCATTCTTCCTCTCCACTGGAGGTCCTCATGACCTACATTGCTTTCATTGTAATCAGCACAAGGGTTACTTACTCATGATTCCTGTCACTGATTATCACAATTTTGTTTCTCCTTCTTCACCATCCCACCCAGTAATGTGTACTTCTATATATTTGTCAGTGATTTTATTTCTGTCTTATCTCAAGTCTTCTTCTTTGATCCAGAGCTTCCTATTCTATTACAGCTCCTACATTCATTCCTCGGAGTTTATACAGCTATTACTATAACATTACCCAGTAAAAAAATAATAGGCAACAATTTTGATAACAGCTTCCAGAACTTCACCATAAGGATAAAAATATGAGCTGAGAAATATAAGGTTCCAATTGCTGTCAATGCCACTGGTTATATACAAAGACTAGAGGCCCAGTGCACAAAAATTTGTGCACTTGGCGGGGAAGGGGGTCCCTCAGCGCAACCTAGCCTGTGCCCTCTCGCAGTCTGGGACCCCTCGGGAGATAACGACCTGCTGGCTTAGGCCTGCTCCCAGGTGGCAGAGGGCAGGCCCAATCTCTAGGTGCAGCCCCTGGTCAGGCTCAGAGATGGGCCGATTGGGGAGTTGGGGGGCCG